AATAATAATAATAATAATAATAATAATGATAACAAATAGGGTTTGCCAGGTCGTTCTTTAGGGAACTTGATTAACATACAATTGACTTGTCGGATTGTGGTCAAATGGATTGTCAGACTTTAATTACGATTCTTGCTGCAAGAATAAAGTTTTCAATTCATGAAGCTATTTAACTCATCAGGCGAATGCTGCTTACACTAATTCTGATTCAAATGGCGGACATAAGAAATAATTGGTGATGCTAACCTAGAAATGACGGCTGTTGAAGACAATCACAGACTAAATTGTGCACTGAAGATGTTTTAATCTGGTGCGCGATCTTCTGTTAGTCGGTACAGCTGTAAATTATATAAAGCAGAAAGCTAGAGACTCGAAACCGAAACAAATATCGAATTACGAAAAGAAAATTAACAACACAAAAGCGACGACTCACATATTTTTGGGCATCTCCAGGCTTAAATAAAACGTCAATATCAAAAGGTAAAAGATGATCGAAGAAACAAACTTTCGCCTACACATAAAACAGCGCGCAACACAATTTTTCGAGCACATGGTAGCAAAAATCACGTGATCCGCACAAGGGGGGATCGGAGGGGCAAACTGTCCCTAACAACCGACTTCTCGATGTTTTCTCAAACACAGTCATCTAGAAAATATTTATTGAGGTCGTGCGAAGGGGCAAAATATCAGACTAACATAATGCTACCATTCATGGTTCATAGTTTGGACAGTTTTCATACGGATTTGATCACTTTGGACGATAACTGACGGGGGCAGTTCTTTAATAAATAACATATGAATCAAGTCAATCAAATTTACTGACGGCATGCTTTGAAAGTGTTCTTTCATTGTGCTCTTCGCACCAGTGAGTTTTAAGATGAGAACGCTGGCGGTGATCACATTCTTAGATAAATTTAAAAGCTCCAAACGTGACACGCTATCGCAAGTAACGCATGACTAATTTTTTTTGAGCGACCACGCTTTCGTTCCCATGCATGTTGAACTGGGCTTGCTACTTAGGACTAACATTTCAGTATTTATTGGCACTTAGAAGAAGTTAAAGTGGGAACAATTATGATGGAAGATAATTCAACTGGCAATCAAGTTCTTGAAGACGCTGGAAATCAAATCAGAGAAGCTTGTGAGGTATTAGAACGAGAAGCAACAAGGCTTCGCCACGAGCAGAAAGCCATCGACGCCATGTCGAAAAAAATAGAGCACGTTCATCTCTCGTCGACTGTTAACCTCAATGTTGGCGGCCGCCGTTTTACGACAAGTCTTCAAACATTGACAAAAGATTCAGACTCGATGTTAGCTGCCATGTTCTCTGGGAAGTTCGAGGTTAAACCATCAGAAGACGGAGCTTTCTTTATCGACCGAGATGGGAAACATTTCCGGTTCATACTCAATTATCTTCGTACAGGAAAATTAACTTTGCCGGATGGAGCGACATTTCGAAAGGAACTTGCGGAAGAAGCTGAGTTCTACCAGATCCAAGGGATATTGGATGAGTTAGTGCCTAAAACGCCGATGAATTTCGAAGAATCAGTAATTCTGACGGATGAAGAGCACCGTAATGTGTTGAGAGGTTGGTTGCCTCCACAAGAAGGCAAGTGGCAGCTTCTGATGCGAGCTTCTCGAGATAGCTTTGCAGCCCAAACCTTCCACTCCAAATGTGACAATAAAGGGCCCACTGTCACCATTGTGAAGAGTGGAAGCAACATTTTTGGAGGATTCACTGAAAAGTCGTGGAACAGTGAGTATCATTGGTTAATCGTTACAAGGTTAAGTAGTGGTATTTCCGGTCGCGTTTATCGGCGTTAGAAATAAATTTCAATTTGAAGGATAAGACAAATGTTTGCAGGATGACAAAAAAGCGGAAATAGACAATGATAAGTGAACAACGGAGAAAAATGCGGCCAAGGATCTTTGCAGAAGATTGAATGTCGAGGAAATGAAAATGAAATATAACCGGATTTAGTACAACAAATAATCTTCAAAATGTTTGAAATATTGACACGCATTGCGAATGATAAAGTAACAAGACGAAGTATAACTGTCAAGAACTCGTTCTAAACGATTTTAAAAGGTGCACTATGCCTAGTTAAGGGTTAGCGCGTTATTTTTATGTTTTATTGAGGGTTAGAGTAAACAAGTTACAACATATCAGTTTTATAAACACAGAGCTGTCTATTAAGCACAGGAGGATCGACCTAGAAGGGTCATGTTACCCAGTGAGTTTGATTTGTGCATGAACACAGCAAGAATATGTAAAATGGCTCAATTTCTTGAGTTTACTGCTCGTTTAGTCAGAGTGTCTTATCTGAGGGCGTCCAATCGATAATTAAAGGATCGTTCGTGTGAACAAATGTTAAGCTATGCAAATCACCACTTTTGTCAACACTTCACACAGACCATTTGATAGGGTGCGGGAAAGAATGGAAAATTATGCAGAAATTTTCGGCAATATTATGCGGAACAAAGTGACGATTATGCGGAAAAGACGCCAGATTATGCGGAGATTTCTAAAAATTAATAAAGCTGTTCCCTTGGCTTTTTCCAACGTATAAAATACACGTTCGCGTCTTACCAAGAATTTTAGTCCTTTATGACATGTTTGACCTTTTGCTGCCATTCGTGGACAGGTATGTCTTCGTTCAACGCAGTGTTTTCATAGTTTTCGTTGTTGAGCTAGTCCGAAGCTTAGTAACCAGCCATTAAATCGGACGAGGAAAACTGGACACCGAAAATCAGTATTAAAACAAAATTAGAACCCAGGCCCATCACCAGAAGATGCATGGAACGCCAAACGGGTTTAAATTGTTTACGAACGAAAGGCGTGTTTTCGTCGCTGTTTTGGGCGAATAACTTCTTCAAAATGATCAATCTTTTCGCTATTTTTCTTCTGAGGATGGTAAGCAGTTTGCTTTCTCATTTATATGTAGAAATTTTCTAGTTTTATGCGAAAAAATGCCCCAAGGATGCGGAGGATACGGAAGTAGGCGAATTATGCGGATCCGCACCACCGCATCCTGTCAAGGTCGCATTCACAGCAGTTAAGGACTCTTGAAGACATGAACAGTTTACTTCCCTTCTGGCCAAAACTGAACGGGAGAGATGCCTCTGGGAAACCAATAACACAATTGTGACATAGCTACTTTTTTAGCGGATGTCTTGATTTATCATGACGAAAATTCATATGTATATTATTACTGTTTTATGATGCAAATATCAATTCTGAAGCGTTATCACTGACTTACAAACAGGTTTCAGCGAATGGGTAAGATGCTCACAAGCATTCCTGTTCAGCATAGTCAACCCTCATGGACTGGGTCCAACTAAAATGCCGCTCTTTCAGGAACACGAGTACTCCATCTACTGTGAACCAAGCTATGGACCTACTTTTGGTGGAGGGCCTGACTTACATATATCAGGAAATGCAAATAACAATACATCAAGTTATACCTACCTCGGCTGCAGTTATCAGTGTCCCACAGGACAGAATGCTTACACATTCCAGGCGGGAGTAAAAAATTTTATTGTGACAGATTACGAAGTGTTTGAACTTCACAGATGACAGACCAAATATTCTTTCCCACGTCAGAGACCACAAGGTTAGTAAAATGTCCTCTGAGTTGTAATTTATGTGACGGTTTTATAATCATCACTTAGAGATCAGCGTACCAGTTTTATATTTTACCGTCTCGCGAGCTAATAGGGAACTATTTCGCCTCAATCTTCACGTGACCAACTAATCACTGCACCACTCCCCCTCCTCTTCTCGCTTGATAAGCTAACAATCACGGAAGAAAGGGTCAACTCACAAATTGCGTCACCGCACTGTTGCTATCATATCTATTTGAACCAAAGTGCAGCGTTTGAGACTGACATCGAATTTATTTAGTCGTTCATGTGGCCAGGCCAATCTGCACCAAAGTTTAGGTGTCATGGATGTCGTTTTTGAAGATTTAAACGAAGTTTCCTTCTTTTGGTGGTAACTCTAACCTTTTTTTTTTTTTTTCGTAGTTGAAAACTGTTAAAGAGTGCCGTGTCCTTGGGAGCACGCATTGATTATGGCCCAATGAAAATGAATTCTTAATGAAAATGTAAGGTTTAATTACAAGGACAAGATATCCGGAGTATATAGTTCATTTTACTTCATTTCTGTGATTGTGTTTTTCAATTGATCGGACAGTATAGTTTTAAAATAGACTCCAAATGATCACCATTCTTATTTTCGTTTATTTTGAACTATGGCTGTACGTATCTAATGTAACTTTCTCTTTTTTAGAACTGAACCGCAGACTTAGACTCGCCAACTCCAGGTGCATGTTGGCCTGGAAACTGGAAGTGACATGCATCCCTTTTGATATAGAAATTTAGAAATTAGTGACTGTTTGTTTGTTAGTCATTTTGTATTAGTTAAGGCATAAGGTCTGAAATAATTATTTCTCGATAGCCCCTTTTAGATCTTAGCTTTAAAAAAATCTATTCAGTCATCCCTCGCGTGAAATACATTAACAAGTCTTACAACCTGACTGCTGTCGATGGGAACTGCAAGGTTTATTTTACATGCATCATTTTGTTGCAAGGTTTATTTTACATGCATCATTTTGTTGCAAGGTTTATTTTACATGCATCATTTTGTTGCAAGGTTTATTTTACATGCATCATTTTGTTGCAAGGTTTATTTTACATGCATCATTTTGTTGCAAGGTTTATTTTACATGCATCATTTTGTTGCAAGGTTTATTTTACATGCATCATTTTGTTGCAAGGTTTATTTTACATGCATCATTTTGTTGCAAGGTTTATTTTACATGCATCATTTTGTTGCAAGGTTTATTTTACATGCATCATTTTGTTGCAAGGTTTATTTTACATGCATCATTTTGTTGCAAGGTTTATTTTACATGCATCATTTTGTTGCAAGGTTTATTTTACATGCATCATTTTGTTGCAAGGTTTATTTTACATGCATCATTTTGTTGCAAGGTTTATTTTACATGCATCATTTTGTTGCAAGGTTTATTTTACATGCATCATTTTGTTGCAAGGTTTATTTTACATGCATCATTTTGTTGCAAGGTTTATTTTACATGCATCATTTTGTTGCCGTAACCCGCTTTAACGACAGAAACAGGTTTCCATTGAAGGCAACGGTTTATGCACTAGTGTGTATTACAAACCTACAGACTCGCATAATTACTTGTTATATTCGTCTTCGCATCCATCTCACGTTAACAATTCCATTCCTTTTTCTCAGTTTCTAAGACTTCGTCGTTTATGTAGTGATGACTCTGATTTCCACCACAAATCAGAGTCAATGTACCAGTTTTTCGATAAACGTGGTTACCCTGTTTCCGTCGTTCAAGCGGGTCACCACCGCGCCCAACTTATTGGTCGACATTCAGCACTAGAAACGTCGCATAAGGAAGATTCCGACCGCATTCCATTCACTCTCACGTTTCACCCTCGCAACCACTCAGTTAAATCCATCATTCTTAAAAACTCTAAATTACTTCAAAACGATCCAGAGACAAGCACTATCTTTTCGCAGCCCCCGTTCATTTCATTCAAACGCGACAAAAACATAGGCAAATTTTTGGTCAGAAGTTCTTTTCAGACTAATGACCAACCAGGCACTTTTAAATACGCTCGTGCACGATGCAAAACGTGTCCCTTCATTCACAACACTGATAAAATATCGGGACCTAAACGATCCATTAAAATCACCGATCACTTCACGAGCACCTCCGCCAATGTAATCACAGGCCGCCCAAGCTCTGTCACAGGCTCTTTCACAGTGAATAATTAAAGAGTTTCTATAGTGGTTTAGTTAGACTTGCTTTTGAGCTCCGTAAATGTAAAGTTGTGTGAAATAATCAAAGAAATAAAGTCTTACCTTCGTAGAGAGTAGTCTGTGTTGTTTTCCTCGCGGTTTGAAGCCGTTTTGATGTGTTTCAGCTTGACGCCCTAAATTACCATGCATAAAATACGGGAAGGTCGGAAACTTCTGTTGACACATGCTCGCCAAAATCGCTCGAAAACAACACTTAGATACTTTCCCTCGAATCAAAACTCGGCAGCACGAAAGCTAAATAGCTGCCCTTTAAGTTCATCGAAAAAAATCCCTCAAAAGTCGGTTTGTCGAGCAACCAATCCAGCGAGAATTTCAAATTAACGGTCGTTCGGAATTCTTCTAATGCGTGGAAGGAACTTCTTGTGCAACTGAGAAACCGTTAATGCGCGGTCAACCTGGAACCTAGTCAAATCTCTCTCAACGGGTCCTCCCCATAGTCTTCTAATACCATCTCTTCACGAATACTAAGGTATCCCGGGTAAGAGGATATTTCTAAAAATCCATTGAAAACAGTGAAGATGGACAGTATCGACGATCTAGTCAGGTCGATGAGTTTACCCGGGGTACCTTCGTATGTGTGAAGAAACTATCTGCCTTACAGCCTCAATGTTACGTGACATCTTAATGTCACGTAACATTGTAGTGCGTGGAAAGCTTCCTAAGGAAAAATAACATTTATTCTTGTGATAGTTCAGTTGCGGAAACAAAACTATGAGTGAGGCAAATATTGAAGAAAACGACCAACAGCAAAATCAAGTCTTACCAGACGCTGAAAGTCATATCAAACAAGCCTGCGATATGTTACAAAGAGAAGCTGCAAGACTTCGACACGAGCAGAGAGCTATCGACGCCATGTCGAAGAAATTGGAACATATTCACTTTACCTCTACTATACAACTAAATGTTGGCGGCCATCGCTTCACCACAAGTCTTCAAACGCTGACCAAAGATCCAAATTCCATGCTGGCTGCCATGTTTTCAGGGAAGTTTGAGATGAAGCCCACTGATGACGGCGCTTTCTTTATCGACCGAGATGGAACCCACTTCCGGTTTATACTCAATTATCTTCGTCAATTTTATCAACCTAATTTTCATTTCCCTTATTTCTTTTCCTCCAATTATAACCATCTCATCTTATTTCATTTTAACCCTACTTATCGTTAATTTTCGTACTGCCTTACAGTCTGTTGGTCCCTCGACGCTAGTGCCCAATTAAACAACTAATCTCTTTTATTTGGACGCTGCGTTTTGGTTGACGTAGCTGCCTTGCAGTTTCATTTTGGCCTTTAATTTCAGAAACAAATATAGCAAGCTTTTTATTAATAGGAAATCACATGCAGGAAGAGGTCAGCTGATCGTCACGAACAGTTTATAGCGGATCTCTACAGTGGCCCTACATGCCACGTAGTAGGAAATCGTAGTTAAACAGATCGCTCTCCTATGGTGGCCCAAAAGTGCCACGGCAATTTCAATTTGATCACGGAAATTTAACCACGGCAACTTCAATTTGACCAC